CATAGGCTTATTATAAATTTCCTTATAAAGATGAGAATGTTTTTCTAAATCTCATACATTCATCATAAACCCTTCTTTTTATATATTTTTTTTATTATCCATAATTAATAAATATTTGTGCTTAAGTTTTCATAATTAATTATTACTTATTTATTGAATTATCTATTAGTTATCACTTACAAGTATATCAAGATTCTAATTTTATTATTAAAATATCTATTCAAGACTTTTACTCCTATTATTATCCTCTTTAATCAAACTTTTCTTTATAATTTTTAATATTTTACTTGCTTACTAAACATATTAGAGCAATATTAATTAATCAAATCATATATTTATTATTTTATGAATTAATTCAACTTAACTTAAGTGAGATAGATATTATCTATCTTAGATAAAGAATAGTATAATTAGTAAATACTTTTATTTTTGACTGCATCAATATTCAAGAAGAACAGCTTGAATAATTTTATCAAAAATTTATCTATCAAGATTTTACTTTACAAACTCAAACAAGAATCTTATTCAATAATAGTAATATTAATAGATACTATTCTGAAATCAAGAATTCAGAAGATTTACTAATATCTTCTATTCAAACTATATTAATTTTAAAGTCAGAAGAAAATAGTAATTATTCTAGTTCAAAAGAAAATACTCAAATAAACTCAGAAAATAATAATCAAAAAACTGAAGAGAAAGATAATCAAATAGATTAACAAAATAATAATAATAATTTAAAGAGTCTTATTATAGTTCTTGAAGCTTTCATTAATAAAATAGCTAATTAATATAACTGGTTTATGAAAAAAATTATTATATTTATTAGAAAATATAAAGAAATAATCAAGATCCAACTGAATAAGTTAGAATTAGATGATGAATCCGAATAAAGTTATAAATTAATTGAAAAGATGTTCCGTAGAACGAAATCACATTATATGTATATTGCTAAGCGGATGGCCAAAACTTTTACATGTACATGTATATTAAATAAAACAATTGCGATGGGAAAAGTGATACTGTGCGAACATGTCTATATATGGATTTGTTTGTCACATAGTGAATCATATATGAATTTGATCTTCACATAGTGAAATATATACGGCTTCTTTCACGGATATTTATGTTATGTTACCTAATTATTTTACGTTTTAGAAATTTTATAATATTAAATTCTATTAAGTGACGCATCCTCGTTACTATTACACCTTTATCCGTTATAGAAGATAGGAAATTTAATCCCCATATAGCCATAATCTCTGGAAAATCACTTTTTCTTTGTCCCAAAGGTATGATTGTGTGAAAAGCGCCTGTATATGGTGCACTATCATATCTCGCACAATTCGATAAAAGAATTATAAAGAATAAATGTAATGCTCTACTTAAATTTGCTGTGCAGGACTTCGCAGTATTTTCTCATGATCGTGTCGGTACATAAACCAAAGTTATTTGTGCAGATTCAATACATTATTGTATATATGTGCTTACTCATATAACAAAGTATTACATGTAATATGGATGGATTGATTACTTAACTGGTTTAATTCTTGCAAACTTTGGTCTAATTTCGAACCATTTTGGAAGCCATACGAGTTTACTGAAAATAATTTTAATTATAAAAAAAAATTTTTGACTATTCACATAGTAATAAATGTTCAATTAACACATTACTTTCAAGTATATTCCGATATTTGTATTTTAGGTTACAAAGACGCATGTCTTCATTCCTCCTTGATTTTATCTGTGATCTAATATGGAAAAAGCGTGTAGGTTGCATGTTCTAAATTTATAACTGTTTAAGTTTGAAAAATAGTTTGTTTAATCTAATGCACATCCATATTAAACTAGAAGAGAAAATTTATATTTATCATAAAATCGTAAAAAACAGCTTTATTCCATAAAGAAACGCGTCTTTGTTTTAGCTTATTATGGAAACTGTGATATGCATATAAATGCAAACATAGTTCAAATCATCACCGAGAAATGCATTTATTGAAGTTTCAAACAAAGCATATAGATTTCTAATTTAAGAATAAATGCGCCACAATTTGTTTATCAATGGGTGCTATCGCCGAAGGTCATATAAGGAATATTAGTTCGGACGGGAGGTGGAGCTATTAAACGTCAACAGCTTTTTTAAAATGATTAACATGAAATTTTTGGCCAAGATTATACAAATCAAAACCGTTTGCCAAAAATTTCTTAGTAAATTTTGTAAAATACATAGCGCTGCATACAATATCCGCGAGATAATAGTAATTCCGATTTTTATAAGAAATGTGGCATTACTTTTTAGATCTATTATGTTTAATAACAAACCAAAGGTATTCTACGATCAGTAACAATTTCATAACTTTCATCACGCTGTATCTGTGAGTGTTTTATTCAAGTTCAGGTGTATTTTGATTAGAACCGGGGAAATTAACTTGTAAAAATAATTATAAAGTTAAATACTATATTGATATGATTCTTGGTACATGTACATTTAATACATGTAATGATTTCAATTATGTGCGCATAGATTTATTACACATATTGTATAAATAAGCAATATTCCGATCTATTTTTGCATCTATATATAGTAAAAGGCATAAAGAAAATCCTTTACCGTGGTATGTTCCACGTCGTAGTTTCTAAAGCCTTGTCGGTTAATCTTGAGAGGGAATTCGAAACGTATTCGAATCATTCTCCTACAGAAATTTAATGGAAAAAATATTGACGCATGACGCTGATTTTGCATATTACGATATGCATGCCAATTATACATTACACAGTTAATAAAAATTTGGTGATTTCCATATTTAATACCTTTCAATGAATGCTAAAACTCAAAAATAAAAATTGTACAGTTTAAATCAAAAATTGTTAATAGCATATATTTAGAAAATACAATGAATTTACGTTTTTGGATAGCTAGTGAATTGAAATTTAAAATTCTTATGCATGTGAGTGTAAAATTAGCAAGCAAGAACGAGGCGGAATTTTTAATTTACAGAGAACCAAATACTGCATTTATAAATCATAGGAACACAACTTTTTTTCTAAGACTACTTTCTCCGGAGAATTAGATCTAAATTTTAAATATCCTGACTAAAAATATGCAAGATATTTGAGAATTCTTTTTACCCAAAAATATTTGATTGTTGGCCGAAAACTGACGCAGGCTGGTTGAAGGACCTTATCACTATTAGCCCATGTACAAGAACGCAGTTTTGGATACACTGCAGAACATCATAGGATTTGGGGAAAACGATATAAATTCGGCATTTGAATCTCTTCAATATCTTTGTTGCCTTCAGGAACCAAATAACGTTATATAATTAGATGGCGTTATATAATTCAATAAATTCAAACACTGGATACAAAAATCTAACGAATTCATCTTTTTAAAATGCAATCATCAAGTCAGAAAGGCCTTGATATCAACACAATTCTTTCTATAATCCCCTATCCACCTAAAGTTACCCCTCAGGATCTAATCATGAAGGCAGGCGCAAGGCTTGAAAAAAGTGGAAAAATATCCAGAATTCCTAATGCATTTATCGCATTTCGCATGGATGTCTGTCGCGAACTTCGTGTTATTGGCGATTGCAGCATGAGCCAACCTCAACTTTCTTTAATGTGCAAGGCTTCATGGGACAATCAACCAGAATATGTCCGTAATGCATATCAACGTATTGCAGCATCCGCAAGAATTCTTTACGAAAGGATGATTCAGAAACGCAGACAGCATGGACAAAATAATAAAAGAATGGCATCATATGAGCAGACGCCATTTTTAGATGATGAAATGAACGAAAGTCTTGCTTCCAAAGATCAATTTGAAAATTTTGAAATTCTTTCACTTGTGAATACATGTATGGCCTCTTCCGAAATGTTCGTGCAGGATGCATCAAACACAGCATCTGGTCATGCTCTTCCAAATTGGATCCATCAAAATGAAAATCCAAATTCAACTATTGAAGAATCATCAAATTTAACTAACTTTGGGCATCCTGAAATTAGTTCAAATATAACTCTTCCCGTTGATTTACAAGAATCGCGTTTAGAGGGAGGCCAATCTTCATATTTTGATTCTTCTTCCGACGATATTAATTTTGTTTCGATGAATTCGGAAATTGTAATGAAATCATCGAATTTTGAATCTTTCGATTACAGAAACCATGAATTTCATTTTGATAACAATTTTTCTTCAGCTTCTAATAATTTGGCTGAACCTCAACAACCAGATCCAAACAATAATGTTATTGAAAATTCCCACGAACATGATAAATGTGGCGCAGAAAGCCAGATTACTGAATTGCGCTCAAAAATTAAATTTTTAGAACAAAAACTTGATACTTTAATGAATTTTTTAAATGAAGAAGGGTTTATGATGAATGTATGAGATTTAGAAAAACATTCTCATCTTTATAAGGAAATTTATAATAAGCCTATG